ATAAGTAATTGCAGAATGTCACACTGGTGACATCAAATAGTTTCATAGAGAGAGAAACTCAATAGGTTTGAAAACTATATCTTAAAGAACAAGAACTACCAAGTGGATATTCTTTAGCACGACTTTGGATTCCAGACACTTTCTGAATTAAAGAGTTTTTACATCTAGGCTTGCTTTATTTGCTAATGGTATTGTAAAGCAATTGAGAACTGTGACTGGGCAGTATTTCACATCCTTATTGCCAAGTGTTACTTGCAAACTTCCTATGTGTAGATTAACTGTTCTGTTGTTTTGTTCCACAACTGCTAAGTAGTTATTTCCTTTTCTCTTCTCTTTATTCTTGTCTTAAATAGTTTACTGGTATTTTATGCCAGATGTAATGTCTACTTCCTTATTTGGGAAAGATTAGGAACAGGGTATTTCAGTCGGGGGTAAATGTCCCCTTCCTTCTGTTTCTGCTTACTTGCTCCTGCCTTCCTTCAGGTGGCCTCTTCTCAGAGGTCATCCCTGAGCATCCACTTGGGATTAGGTGTCCTTTTTTCCCATGGCATACTGTGATAGCTTTTTTTTTTTTAAATAAGATTTTATTTATGTATTTGAGAGAAAGATAGAGAAAGAGAGAGTTTGAGAGAATGAGTGGGAGGAGGTGCAGAGGGAGAAGCCGACTCCCTGTGGATCAGGGAGCCTGATGCAGATCTTGATCCCAGGACCCTGGGATCATGACCTGAGCCGAAGACAGATCCTTAACTGACTGAACTACCCAGGCGCCCCTGTGATAGCTTTTGAAACACTCCATACAAATTATAGAGTACCTGCCATATGCCAGATCTAGAGTGACTCTTGTGAACACACACATTCCTTGGCCTGTAGGAACTTATAGTTGAGATGGAGAGCCAATCTGACAGAAAAATGCAATGTGATTGAATACCTTTTTTAAAAAGCTAATATGTGAGTGTTTGTTATGTAACAGGCATTGTACTAAGAATTATTTCATGTCATTCTCTCAGTAAGCTTATGATCCCCATTTTCTAGGGAAGGAATTTAGAGAACATGTGTTTTGTGCCAGGTCAGTTGCATTTCAGAATTGCTACCCAAATCTAGGTCCAGAGCCCAGGCTCTTGTTTTTTTTTTTTTTAAAGATTGTATTTATTCATTTGAGAGAGAGACAGAGCACAAGCAGGGGGAGAGGCAGAGGGTGAGGGAGAAGCAGACTCCCCGCTGTGCTGGGAGCCCAGTGTGGGGCTCGATCCCAGGACCCGGGGATCATGACCTGAACCGAAGGCAGATGCTTAATCATCTGAGTCACCCAGATGCCCCCAGAGCCCAAGCTCTTAACCACTGTGCTTTGGACTGACTGCTGCCTCTCTTCAGGTCAGAGCACTTCTCCCTGTGTGTCCCCTGTGCCCTCATGTACCAGGCACAGGGAGGTGAGTGCCACTCTTGGGAGTTTGAGAACTAATAATGACTTACTAGTCAGAGAGTGGCTGGAAGTGATTCACCATCTTCCTTAGAGACTTTAAAATAATTCAAGATACTAACAAATGTAAAACAGCCTCCAAGTTATTCATCACAGTGTTGCTTGTAATAGTAAAAGACTAGAAATAACCTAAATGTTTATCCACAGGAGATTAAATAAATTAGGATCTATTTATACCATGAAATGATGCAGCTGTGATAATGAGGAAATGATATATAGATATGGAACAATGTAGAAGGTATGGTGTTTTGTGGAATAAGCATGGCTCAGAAGAGATGTTACTTTGTATAGAATCAGTAGCATGCTACCATTTGCGGTGGGAGAGACGGAGTATTTATTATATGCATGCAAGCATGCATGCAAGTTCTACGCCCAGTGTGGGGTTTGAACTCATGACCCAGGGATCAAGAGTCATGTGCTCTACCAATTGAGCCAGCTACATGCCCCGGTATTTTTGCATGTATATGCTTAGCATATCTCTGGAAGGGTAGACAAGAAATTGATAATATAGGTTGCTTCTGAAGGATGGTTAAGGGATTCCAGGTAGGGAGATTGTCCATGCCTTTTTATGCCTTTTGAATTGGAATTTGAAATAATAAGCAGCTTCCTGGAAGTGAAAACAAATACAGAATGGCACTCAGAGCTGTGTATGTTTCATGAGTGTGTGGGATAAGCCTGCCTTGGTCCTTGTCCCATCCCAGTGCCTGGCATAGTATGCACTTGAGTATTTATGCAATCAATGAACCAAGTTGAAAAAACAATCTCAAATTCCTCTATAGGAAGGATACAACATCTCTTTTGTGGTATTCCTGCTAAAAATACATATCCTGAATCTAACCATGAAGAAATATCAGACAAATTCAAATTGAGGAACAGTCTGAAAGATAAATGGCCTGTGTATTTAAAAAAATGTCAAGGTCATGGATGACTAAGAAAGACCAGGAGACTGTTCCAGATCAGCGGGGATGAAGGGACACAACAACTGGATGCATTGTGTAAAATGCCAGATTGGATCCAGGGCCAGAAAAAAAGTTGTTTAAGGGTATTAATTAGACAATTGGCAAAATACAAATAAGGTCTGTAAATTAGCTAATAGTTTCATTGTAGCTTTCTGGTTTTGGTAGTAGTACCAAAGTGAGAAGTGAGAAGAAAGTGAGAAGAAAGTCCTGTTTATAGGAAATAGGTATGTAAGAATTCAGTAATAAAGTGGCATGTGTCTGCAACCTACTCTCAAATATCAAAAGAGAGAAAGAGAATAATAAACACGTAGAATGCTAACATTTGGTAAATCTGAAGAAATACAGGTATTCTTTCTACCATTTTGTAGCTATTCTGTCAAACTATTTAAAAAAAAAAACCTTCCTATATGGGGCGCCTGGGTGGCTCAGTTGGCTGGGCGACTGCCTTCGGCTCAGGTCCTGGTCCTGGAGTCCAGGGATCGAGTCCCGTGTCGGGCTCCCTGCTCAGCGGGGAGTCTGCTTCTCCCTCTGACCCTACCCCCTCTCATGCTCTCTCTCTCTCTCTCTCATTCTCTCTCTCAAATAAAAAAAAAAAGAAATCTAAAAAAAAAAATAAATAAATAAAAAAAACCTTCCTATATGGAACATTTTGTGATTTCATAATATTGAGCCTTTTATGTCCTTGTGTACAATTTTGTAGTTTTCTTCATGTAGATCTTAATATTTTTGGTGACGTTTATTTGTAGATTTCTTAATATATTTGTTTCTCTAAAAAAAAAAATTATAGCTTTTACCATACGATCCAGCAATTGCACTGCTGGGTATTTACCCCAAAGATACAAATGTCGGGATCCGAAGGGGTACGTGCATCCC